CAGTGGACCTGCTCTAGACCTCCCGAAGTCCACAACCAGTTCCTTAGTCTTTGAGGTGTTGAGTTGCAGGTGGTTTGTGTGACTCCATGCGACAAAGTTCCTCACCAGACTTCTGTACTCCTCTTCCTGATCATCCCAGATACACCCCATGATGGCTGTGTCGTCTGCAAACTTCTGAATGTGGCATAATTCAGAGTTGTAGCAGAAGTCAGAGGTGTACAGGGTGAAGAGAAGAGGGGACAGCACAGTTCCCTGTGGTGCTCCTGTGCTGCTGACCACTGTGTCAGACGTGATGTCCTTCAGCCTGACGTACTGTGGTCTGTCGGTGAGGTAGTCGGAGATCCAAGCGACCAGGCAGGGGTCCACCTCCATCCTGTTCAGTTTTTCCTGAAGCATACAGGGCCGGATGGTATTAAAGGCACTGGAAAAGTCAAGAAACAGGATCCTGACCGTGCCTTTTCCCCCATCCAGGTGTGAGTGGGCTCTGTGTAGGAGGTACAGGATGGCATCCTCCACTCCGACACCCGCCTTGTATGCAAACTGTAGTGGGTCCTGGGCATGTTGTACCTGTGGTCGGAGGAGGTTGAGGAAGAGCCGCTCTAGAGTCTTCATAAGATGTGACGTCAGTGCCACCGGTCGGAAGTCATTCAGCTCATTGGGCCGGTTCTTTTTGGGGACCGGGACGATGCAGGATGTCTTCCATAGGGCGGGCACTCTCCCCAGTCGCAGACTGAGGTTGAAGACTCGTTGTAGCGGCTCCCCAAGTTCAGCAGCACACGCCTTTAGCATCCTAGGACACACCTTGTCTGGGCCTGCTGCCTTTCTGGGGCGAAGCTTCCTCAGTTGTCTCCTGACCTGATCCACTGTGACACTGGGAGATGTTTGGGAGGAGGGGAGGGGGGGAGATGTCTTGCTGCTGAGAGAGGGATTGGAGGAGGGGGGTGTCATGGTGTCAGGAAGGGGGGGAAGCGAGGGAGGTAGGAGAGTGGGGATTGGACTCTGTAGTGAAGGTGAGGGTGAGGGTGGGGGGTTGTGGGCTGGTCAAACCTGTTGAAGAAGTTGTTGAGTTCGTTTGCCTTCTCCACAGTCCCCCCCACTGTGCTTTTCTTGGTGTTGTGGCCTGTGATGGTTTTCACACCATTCCAGACCTCCCTCATATTGTTCCTCTCCAACTTCTGCTCCACCTTCCTCCTGTAGGTGTCCTTTGCTTCCCTCAGGCAGCGTTTCACCTCCCGCTGTGCTGCTTTCATCTCCTCCTTCACTTTGCTCCTGAAAGCCTTCTTCTTCATGTTGAGGACAGCTTTGACTTCCTGTGTTACCCACGGTTTGTTATTAGGATAACACCGTACCGTCTTAGCAGGGGCGACTGTGTCCACACAAAAGTAATCGTATTTTGAGAAAGTGACGTTTTGAGGTATCACTCCAAAGATAGCCATTAGAGCAGAAGGATCAAATGTAACGTTATGTATCTCTGAAAAGGTATTAAATATAGAGACCCAATAGTTATGAGTGTTCACTTGTTTTTGACACCACCAAGCCTAATGAACAACAGATGAAAGAACAGGACCTGGTTTTCCACTGCTCTGCTCCCCCTTATGGAAAAATACCCCCAAAAGATAATGGGATGCATCAGTGTGGACAGTATTCAGAAAGAAACATTAGCATCTAATCATTGTTTAGGGAGAACCTAATGCCCGAGTCTTTCTGATTCTGATTCTGATTCTGATTCCCCTCCCTGGTTAGGCTGGAGTCAGTGTGTAACTAGCTGAGAAAAAGATTGAGAATTCTGTCTGATATCAGGCTCATTTTTGTGCTAATTCAAGTCCCAACCAAATGCACAACAGCTAACAAGTGATATTCCACATTTACAGTCAACCTATTTAAAGAAATTATCATAGTTTGTTCTAGTTTGAATTTGCTGCATCACAGAAAAATGCTATTACGTTATATTGCATGGAAGATTTAGTAAATAACGCATCATCACTTGATTTTGAACCGGGCGTCAGGGTTTCTGACTGCAGAAAACAAAAGAAGTAAACTTGTCTTCCCAGTCGATGTCCATTTCATTTCAATTTTTTCTTCGCGGGGGGGGGGGGTTAAATTATTGCATGCTCATATTCTGCCCTCTGTTTACCCTCCACTGCACACTCACACACATAAAGGCAGTGATGCTCTATTGTCCCAACAAAGGAAGCAGCTCTTGTCTCGTGTTTACCCACATGTAATTTAGATTTAGATTGCGTGCCCTCGCTTCTTTGCATGTGTGTGTTGTTGTGTTTTTTTGACTCGGTGGGCGTTGAAGGACCGTCGACTGCAGCCTGACAGGCGCTCTTTGTTCTCACTCTTACGAGTAAGTGGGCCTTACATAATTACGAATGAGCTTTCTATCTTTAATGCTGCCGGGAGAAAGCATGCAAAGCTTTTGGAGCTGTAAAGCTAAAAATATTAATAATTTAAAAAATGACACATTGTGGTCAAACACCCATTCAACACTTATCACCCTGTTGAGAGCAGTTCTCACTCTGCTTTACTCCACCACCTGGGTTCTTTGGAAGCGGCAGAGGATATATGCATACTGACTTTTCACGTGTTAAATCAGTGCTGTTACAGAGGATGTTCCTGCCCCCCCTTTTTTTCTTATTGTTACTTTTTTTGTGTGCTCCTAATGGCTTTTGTTGGTGAATAAACACTGTAGGTTGTCCCAACCACTCCACCTTCCACTCCTCCATTGCTTAGTTTCATTTTTTGCTGACAGTGTGGTTTGTGTGGGGTCTGTTACAGACTGCACGGTGTCAGTGCATGCTCTCGCTTCAGGCTGTGTCCTTGATTATTTTGTGACCGATAACGCTTTCGATGTGCTGCAAAGGAAAAAAAATCCCCTTAAGTGGCTATTAAATGCCATAAAAAAATGACCACACCACCAATTAAATGCGCCGAGGATGAAAAGCAAAGGAGTTCTTCAAAAATGGAGGGCAGTGTTATCTGTTCTCTTTCTGACAGTTTTTATGTCCTAAGCATTTTTTAAACTTTAAAGGGCATTTTGGTGCCCCGAGTGCTCATTAATTTCGAACCCTTTGCCAGCAGTTGCTTGCCTGCAGTTTTCTAAGAGTGTGTGTGTGTGTGTGTCTGTGTGTGTGTACACGTGTGGTAGAGGAAGTGGCGTCTGGCCAGTTGGGTGCTGCTTTGTCTGGCTTTAATGCCTCTTCATTCACTGTACTCACATCCAGCCAGCGCCCTGACAGTCACTAATCTCCTCTTTATCTTAAAGGTTTGCTCAGCACTTCGGCGTCCCATTCAGGCAGCTGCAAACCAAAGATTTGAGGCAGCAGTGTGGACCTCCATGTTGATAGATCTACTCTGTTCTTTAAAGTAGTGAGGTTGGAAAAGCTCCAACCTAGCCGTAGTAGCATTTTTCTCTGTATCCAGAGTTAATCCCAGATAGTGGATACATTTGGGCCTAATCTGGGCTACTTTTACCATGACAGGCACGGTATTGGCAAATGTTCTGTAGGCCAGACATGACCTCAAATGTCACAATGCCCATCTGGCCTTTATGAAACGGACACGTGGTTGAGTTGCAGGCTGACCCAACACTGTTAGGCAAGGCCAAATGTAGCACAAAGAAAACTGCATATGTAGGCCACACTTCAGCTGAACCCTCATCGCGTTCTAGAAAGACTGGGTATCTTTGTGATGTGTGTGGCTCGTACCTGTGGCTTATGCTCATAGGAAAAAACCATTTTATTCACACACAAGTGCATCCATAATGAACAGTTGTGGGGTAGCTCAGATAATGCAGTGCACAGCTATTTGGAGAGGATGGGTGGTGGACTGACAATGCTTAAATGCACGGTCAGACAGCCACCAGTTTGTCCCAAACGATATTTAAAAATAGTATTTTACAAAGACACAACAGCATTACACAGGTTGCTGTTGCAACCGTGTTCTCTCTGTGAGCCGACTTGCAATTGTTACATGCATTCCCAGTATATTTGCTACTGCTACTCCCAGTTGTTCCCAAACACTGAACTATTTCAGAAAATGTTCATTGTTGCTTAAGGGCTATGTATCTACTGTCTACGGTGAAGCCCTTGGGAAGCACAAAGACTGATAAATTGCCCAAAGGGATGTCACTTGAGTCATCGTTTTTGTGATTACAAGTTTGAAATGTGGATGTGAAGTAGAAAAGAGTAAAGTTACCTCACCTCTGCTTCAAGCAAGCACCTGGAGGCTGGCATAATAAGTTTTTGGCTGTCAAGCTGCATTGTGTTAATGTAATGTTATTATTGTCAGTTACTGTTTCAGCTTTCAGCAGTTTTGAAAACATGATTACTGAGAAAAACTGGTTACTCTTTTTGCAACGCTGCTTTCCTTTAGCAGACAGGCAAAACTGTAGCAAGGGTTCCTTACGTCAACGTGCAAGACTTGACTGCCCACCTCTGCGCTTCGACGTCACCGAGTTGTCAGTCTCTGCGCAGGTCTTCCAAAGTGCACGAGTCCAGTGCCACTGAGACCACTCCATCTACAACCCATGTACAACAGTGCAACAAGTTTATTTTGTGTGTGCATGCGGTTGTTTAACAGAATAAGCACATTGAACTCTTAAATATACACAGATTCTAATACTCATAAACTTAAGAGTTAATCCATTACAAATACATAAAAGCATGTATTGGTTTGTGGAAGCCTCCATGTTGCCCTGCCATCTTTATTATAGTGCCCAAGATGGCATCATGTTTATGTATGTCTGTTTATATATGGAATAGTAGTGGTACAATAGCTATATCAAGCTATATAGTTTATGTCTTCCATATTTCCAACTATATCCATAATCACATACTGTGTATGCTACCATTGTATATAGTGTATTATCTTACTTTTTTTCATTGATCGTACTTATTTGTATTTTTGTATTTCCTTCTGATATCTGTACCTGAGCTGAGGTGACGCAAAAATTTCCCCGTTGTGGGATCAATAAAGTCTTATCTTATCTTATCTTATCTTATCTTATCTTATCTTATCTTATCTTATCTTATCTTATCTTATCTTATCTTATGTCATAAGAGAGCAACCACATACGCCAGATATAACTTATTGTCAGCGGATTAGAGGCCCGACCCTCATGTCTCCAGACAGCTGACAATTGAACATAACGTGAGTCATCAGGTTTACTGATCTATCAGTCATTGCCATTAATGAATGGCTTGGTACGCTTACACCGAACAACCAAAATGAAGACAAAATTGTAATACAATTGTGTTTTTCCCCCCTCTGGATATTATTTTTATTTTGCTGGAAACATTAAGAGGGGTAATTAGCTGTAAAGGTCTTGTTATGGGAGGTTTAGATGCAAAACAAGCAGTGCAAATAATGAGAATGCTGTTTCCAGTCAGTGCCCGTGAAAGTCGTCCCTCCCCACCCCACCCCTCCAGCTCACGTGGCCACACCCGCGCTGTTAGTGCAGTGCTCTGGATTTGGGATTGGCTGAAATGAGTGTTGTCATTGATCAGCCTGGCCAGAGAAGCACACAGGAGCAATCAATAGAGGACCACCTTAGCCAACCATTTAGTGAATGAGCCAGCTATATGTAAGCTAAAATCCAATTCACATTTTAATAACAGTAATGTTTTTCCATCATCATATTTTCCTTTACGTTCGAGGTTATATTTAACCCCGACTCTTTGGGAATTTGGAAACTGATTAGAATGCAGATCAGACTTTTTAAAGATTTTCATCGGCACATCTGAGACAAAGCAGAGACTGAAGTATTTTAAACAGCTTTGAAGACAGAGAATAAACAGGACATTGCAACTGGGAAACAGATGTAAATGAAGTGAATCAGCTATCAGACACTCTGTTTGCTAGACAAAATAAATAAGACCATTATGCTCCTTACTACCCAGAATGTGCTCCTGACTGCAACTCCAAGGAAATATTTTTTCTCAGACCTTTTAAGTTTGACTAATAGGGATTAGTCAGGTTGAGCTAAGCGTCTCACTAATGACTAAGTATTGTGTCTGACTGAGAGACGAAGAGACTTTGCAGTTTATTGGCTAAGGGTCAATTCCCACCGAGATTTTCGCTCAGCTGGCTAACATACTGCACACCATGTGCTTCAATATGTGAGTTAGAGCTGGGAATTCCGCGTTTGTACTCCTCTCAGCTGCTATAGTAACAAAAAGACAGTGTGTCCTTACTTATCTTAGCCTTTGAGCAAAATTGATGAATTCCATTGATTTGTGGCAGGGAAATAATGCAGTATCCACCATTAACTTGTCTTAACAGTTAAGACACTGATCAGACAACAATGGCCTCTTCCTTACATTTATATAAACACTCATTACATTTGATTGTCAAAGAATTACTTCCAAAAGGAGACATGGTGCACTAGAACATTAGAGCCACGTGTTTGTGTCCGACCCTGGTCGTCTGACTGACGTCACCTATTTTACTGGCTATGTATGCCCTCCACTTATTTCAGTCAACTTGTTAATCAAAATATATTGCGTTTTGAAATGTTTCACAGAGGAGGCATTCATCTTGACACAGCTATAATTTTGAGCTTTTGTGGCCTCTCAAAATTTACACGTCTGCATCTTCTAGTTCTACAGCAGGGCGGCTTCAAAGTCGGTTTCACTCGATCTTTTTTTAAAATGTTTTCCTTTAAATCTTGAAAGGTTTGCATGGTCTTTCATTTTGCATGTTTATCTGCTTCCACTATTAAACCCTGTGTTTATTTTATTTATACATATATATGTATATATTTTTGCATTAATTTTCCCAGCTCTAACTTCAAAAAGCCTCAGTTTCGAAGATCTAACAGTGCAGTGTCCAAACAGTGTTGGAGCATGAAGTTGTACTCCCTTTACGCAGTTTTGTAAGACTCACATTTTTTGTGCCACCTTCTGCTCATGAGCAACAATTATGATGGGAGGTAAGGAGGAAATTAAGTTATAGAGCAACAGGCCACTTAATGTCAAGTTTAAGGTTTTTAGAAGCCCCTCCTATTGTGATCCCCTACAGTATCTGGGAACGTGTCAGTCCTCTTCCTTCTCATCTACTGAACTGAAGTCGCGGTTCTAACACATTTACATATTATTCCCAATATTGACACAACTACTTATCGTCAGTAGATCAGACATGTCCATGTCCAGACAGCTGACAAGAACTAGCTAAACAACCAATAGTTGGTTATAAGCTAACAATGAGCTAGCTAATGTTAGGACTTAGCATCTTAAAAATCACATTTTCCCTCTAAAAATAAGTTTGATTACACTCTCACAGTCTCACATCACGTGAGAGTTTATTCAAAAAGCATCACAATCAGAGTCCAACAAAGTTATATTCAAAGACCATTTCACCAAAAATGGCTAATAACAGCTAACACCGACTAACAGTGGTAAAAGCATCAGTCTTACCAACAGAAAAGTTTAATATATCCTCAAACTCACTGACCCTTGTCAGATTCTTTCAGTTTTTATAGCCTCTTCCAGAATAAATAGATATGGATGCTTGGATGGGTTAGAATCTCCAAGTTACATTATAACTTTAAGCACATGTTCGTTATGTTAACCTCTTAGTCATGATCCGTCCCTAAAGCTAATTAAGTTATTACAACCAAAAAGATTCACTGAGAGGGATGGCGTGGTGGTGTGGTGGATAGCAATGTAGCCTCACAACAAGAGGGTCCTTGGGTTGAAATCATATGTGAGGCCTTTCTGTGTGGAGTTTGCGTGTTCTCTGTGTAGGTTCTCTACAGGTACTCGAGCTTCCTCCCATAGTCCAAAGGCATGCTTGTGGTTAGGATAATGGCGATTCTAAATAGACCAAAGGTGTGAATGGTTTTCTATCTCTGGAAAAAAATAGGTAGATAATTGAGGAGATGCTCCTGTAGTGGCATTGGGATTATAGAAGTTTTTGTAATTCTGTCGTAGATTACAACATTATGGAATTTCTCCTGAGAATAGAAAATGTTTGGGGTTCACTGCTAGTTTAAACCATCATAATAGTTTAGATGATGTGATTATAGTTTGTAAGCCACGACAGAGCAGCTGGCTGGATAAAATGGATATTTAATATTATTGTAAAAACTAAAACCTTAGCCTTGGTTTAGAGCTTAGTGGTCTTTTGTTGACAGATTATTAAAGCATGTTGCAGATAATTTCATATGTCCACCCTCTGAGCTCTGTTAAATCTGCTGCCAGATTTGAGCACATCTGTTGCCAGAATTTTGTACATCTGTTGCCAGATTTCAGTGACAAAAAGTAGCCCAATAAAAACCTACTTTTGAAGCCAAACACTCACTCGAGGTTAAAAAAAGAGAGCTACATTATTGTTTTCCCATTTAGGAGAGGTTAAAAGATAATTCAGTGTTTTCTCTACATTGAGCAGCAACTTCCACAGGGCTGTTTGAGTCGATTGTTGTGTTCAAGATTAAGTGGGGGCATCTGGCTACTCTGTGCCTAGAAAAAATGTAATTAATATGAATTTCTTGCACCACATGACCATTATAATTAGGCTGAAAAACACCCTCGTGCACTTACTCTACCATGAGAACTATGAGCACAACAAATGCTTCGGAAGCAGTAAATAATATGTGAATCAGGACAGGAAATTATTATTAGAAGAGTAGAAAAATAGGTACACTGAAAAGGAAAGAGCTTGCTATTAGGTCTTGATGAACGTCACACCAGGACAAAAAAATAAAAGATGTTGATTTAAAGTAAGTGGAAGGAAATTAAATGCAATAGCCTTGTAATACATCAGAATATGATTTCAACCGTAAAGTGTTTTTAAATAATAAACCTTAGGAAAAGCCCATCAGATGCAACACTCTGGTTTATTAAAATGGCCCCACCTCAGATATGGAATTCTTTTTAGCTGTGCGTGTATGTGTGTGTGGAATGCACATGTGGCATAAAAATGTGTGAAAAGTGTGAGTTTTGTCGTCAGTGTATGCGAGTTAATACACTCGCAGATTCAGATTTGGTTCCATTTTTCAAATCACCACAGCTAAAGCATCATTGATAAAAAAAAAAATGTAGCCATAGCAACTGATACGATTGTTTGCAGCCTGGGGTTTGGCCCTTTAGCTATCACTCGCTTTACCAAAAAAAAAACCCCAAACAAAGCAAACAAACAAAAAAAAACAGTGAATGGGTAAAGCTGGGAAGTTACTAGCTAACACTGGGAAGTTACTAGCTTCCTTCTCTACTAGCAAGGTACAGCTATGCAATATTAAATTACATGCTATGCATTAAAAGATGCGTGAAACAACCCCAACCATAATCAAAAGCTGATCAAGGGAAAAACAACGATAATTTCCTGTTACTCAAAGCTGCTAGTTTTAACACAACTTTATGGGTTACGTTATCTAAAAATTCCCCCTCCATACAATACTCATGAATGAGGAATTTAGCTATGACCAAAACCATTTTTTAGTAGTCAACATGGATATATTTACTTTAAAGTTGGTTTAAGACTGCTGCCTTTCATATAGGAAGCAGCATACACCGCACTGCACTCTGAAACACATTCTTTTCTATGGCTTATGCCGCACAATGATGGTTTCCCGCTGCGTTGAACAAACCAGAGCACAAGCCCGCTGACCAGGGAGCACTCACAGGTGCCCCAGTCAAACTTCAACACAGCTGAACTTTGACATCAGCACAGTGTGACACATATTCACACAACCTGTAGAACTGTAGAATGAGAAGCAACAGGCGCACAGGCGTACACCTGATGACTATGAGCGCCTGCCAAAAATGTCATCAACGGCCAGCTCAACAAAACTTTTAGGTAATTCACGGAACCTTATCGTAGCCTCCGATGTGAAAAAGCCTTTTGTGGGCAAGCTTTTTCAGCATCTCAACAACAGTACAGTCCTATTTTTAGCTAGCTTAAAGGTTGATTGAAGTTAGAGGGTCAAGTGGGTACAATCAACATATACTAGCTTATCTTTTCCTCTGTTCTTTTTTTAGTCACTGATGGGAGTAGAGCTAGACGGCATGCTTCTCACCTTTAACAGATTTTGTTTGTCAGTTGCTGAAAATAGCAGAATGAACAAAATGAGAACCCTACAAATTAAAACGACAAAAAGCTCAGGTACAACAAACTTCGCCTGTGCTCCACTTGCACCACGGCTCAGGCAGTATCCACAAGTTACACTATCCAAGTCTTATGGTAAACCACCCTGGTTGGCAAACAACATAATTGTATCTAAGGTTTTCCTTCTAGTAAAAGGCATTTCTAAATGACCACCAACTTTTGATTGGTAGCAAATTATGTATGTGCATACCCTCTAATACAGCCTTTAATTGTACCACTGCTGCCTTGGGTTTCCATGCGAGTGCTGCACTACCCTGACTTTTGAGCATTTGCTTGTTTTACAAATTCAAATTAAAACACGAAGTGTAAAGTCACTGCTATTATTCTTTTCTTTTAAAAATCATGGGAAGCTTAATGTGATTCAAAATGCTTTACTTTTTCTTGCAGTCCTTGCTGTTTGAAAAAAGGTGAGTCAGACCTGGTCTTTGAGCACGGAGAGGAACGAGGAGAATGATTATCAGGAGAGTGAAGTAGTGCAAGCGAGTGAAGAGGGAGGCAAGAAGAGGTTTTATATATGTGGTGAGCATTCTTCACTTGTGACTGTGGGAGCCAGTGACACATGAAATATGAGAGACAGCAGCACTCTCCACTATTTATAGTACTGCAAGAGAGAAAGAGAAGAAACTGGCCACACCATATACACTCCAGGGCAGAGGTGGCATCATTTTTTCATTCGCTAAAGAGGAAAAAGAGGAATCCCAGCCAGTACTGAGAAGGCACATATGTCACTGCAGTGACTACGACAGGCCAGTCTGAAGCAGAAACGCGTGTGTCATCTCAGTAGTGCGAGGTGGCTTAATAAGCCTCTGCATCCACTTTTCTTTTTTAGCTCACAAAGCTAAACAGATGCTTGGGGGAAGTGCCGGTTGTGGCTTTGTGTTGTTGCTTTGTGGCGATTCAAACCCATCTGCAGCTCAGCACTGTTTTGTACAAACTGCTAAAAATGTATCAGTGCTACTGGGAATGCAACAGCATGTCCTGTTCTGCTGGAGATAATGATGAAAAGAAGCCAAAACGAAGCCCACTGAAAGTGGGCATGCAGCTTAGGGAATCTCTCCATTTATGTTATTTTATGTTTAGATGAAGACTCGCAAGCAAGAATCAAAAGAAAGTGGAATTGGTTCAGTTCTTGTAGTGGGTGATAAGCACTAAAAATAACCGTGGCAAACCGCCGCTGATGCTAATTTAATGGGGGTCATAAGGCCAGCTGCAAATATGAATGGATGGCTGAATGGATGAAGACTCATCATTTGACATCATCTGCTGTGTTGGTCCTGATGTAAGATGATTTCGATAGCTCTGTTCTCAAATTGCATAACATGTCTGTGCTGTCAGGCCAAAGAGGCATCAGAGCATCCCATAAAAGTAACCGGAAGACTTTGATTTGTCATGCTCAGAAAGCATGACCCATTAGGAAAGCAGCAAGTATTCTTATCTCTCCAAAATTGTCCAGAATGGTCACATTTGCAGCTTAAAATGATACTTGCGAGTGTTTTTGAAGAGGTATTTGCTTCTTGACATTTCAGTGTTTCACAAGGTGCCCCAACTCGCATTAAACCGTCATCTCGGCTGTTTGATGCCAACGCTCTCACGCTTGGGCTTGAGCTTTAGCCACGGTCCGAGGCAGAAGCCGAAGGCGGCCGCGGAACTTTGATGCTGCCTTCCATAAGCGATTTCTTCAGTGATGTCATATCTGTAGAGAAAAGCCCTTCAAAGTCAGGCTGATGTATTATGCATGGCACTATAGTAACTAGCCAGTGTGCTAGTAGTGCTCCGGGGTGGTAATGGTGATGCTTGCAGTGCTGAGAATAGCAATGGGAAGCCTTTGTACTGAATGCTTTTGCCAAGGATGAATTCCTCTATGGTCAGCTTATCTTTCCTCAGATGTATGTTCTATGTATGCAGACACCGTGCAGGCGTAGCAGTGGATTGTGCTTTATGCTTTGAATGCTAATGCATACTGTAGAAATTCACAACTTTAGCAGACAACTTGTGTCCTTGTTTGAGCTTTTTCATTTTCATAACCCTTTTTTTACCTCTGCCAAGCAGGTTAGGTTTATGGTAGTGTTTGCATGCACCGGTGTCATTCTGTGAACGTGATAAAGTTTTGAATGAAGTGTGATAAATGACCCTTTGCAGTGGGGTCATTTAGCTTACATTCACAAAGGTCTTCAAGGTCAACTTGAATTGTGTTATAACATTAAAGAAAATATTGTTAAGAGAAATGTTAAGGTGAGAAAATCTGACTTTTTTGTTAGATTGAATAATGACTAGTTGTTCTTAAAAATGAAGCTTATTTTTCACTTAATGCAAGAACTACTTTTTCTATTTTTTAAATGACAGATTATAGCAAATCATCCCATTATTTAAAAATTAACTATTTTGATAAATTATGCATTTATTTATTTTTGAGCTCCCCATCCAAAAAAAACCATTAACTATATTAGTTAAAGGAACAGTAAATAATTTATCCGCTTGTCTTCTGTTGCCTAAATGTTGGCACAATATAATTTAGTAATAATTTAGTAATATTAGTAATATTTTCTTGGACATCATTAAAAAAAAAGATCATTTATGGTGATATGTTGCTGCACTTCTACACAATTATGGCAGATGAAATAGGTCATTTTAATGGCACCAGAAGGCTGTGGATCAGCAAGTCATTAAATCCTTTATTTGGTTCATCGGTTGGTGTACATACTGGAATTATACATTAAATATCACAGCAATGGCCAAGCATTTTTGTGCAGACATTTATGTTTCCAAGAGTTAACTGTTGACTATTAATACTCTTACCTTTCATCTAGTGCAAATGGTAATGTTGATATTGTTGATTTGCATTCTCTCACTTCACTAAAGAGATTCTGAGAATTAAATTTAGCATAAAACAGCATGTTCTAGATGAAACAAATATGCAAGACACTTGCAGATATTAATACGCCATATGAACAAAAATATTCGGCAACCTACACATCAGACCTACAGGAGCTTTCATGACATTTTTTTCTAGATCACAAGGTATTTAAAAAAAAGTTGGTCTCCTCTTTGCAGCTATAGTAGCTTCCACTCTTTTGGCAAGGCTCTCTACAAGATTTTGGAATGTGCTGAGAATTTTTTCCCATTCATCCAGAAGAGCATTTGGATGTTGGACCAAAGGGTCTGGCTTGCAGTGTCCATTCTAGTTCCTCCCAGAAGTGTTTTATAGAGTTGAGGTCAGGCCAGCCGAGTTCTTCCAACCCAACCTCATTCAGCTTGCTTTGTGCACTGGGGCACAGTCATACTGTCAAAGAAAAGACTTTGACCAAACCTTTCCAACACGTTGTCACTCCCACAGAGTAACATTTTATGCTAGGTGACAAATCGTCGGTATATTGCGCTTTCGGCCATCCAACATGTCCCTATATTACGAGTTGACAATGAGGAAATATGAGAACCGTTTGGAATGATCTACACATGTACGTTTATTCTACTTAAATCACTTTGGAAAGCATTTAAGGTGGTGGTTAAGATTAGGGATAAGGTTATGGTTAGGGTTAGGGCCGGAATACACGGCTGGAATGTGTGTTACTGCAGGAGCGTCATTCTATTCGATTTCATCCAAAATCCGACACGTAGCATAGGAAGGTCACCTTTCGCGTTCCCATGGAACGCCTCGAAACGTGACAAATTGTTGGTATATTACGCGTCGGGAGTGAGAACGGGCTGACCTTTCACACAGAGTTGGAAGCATAGAAAGGTATAGTTTTAAGATTTCCCTTTGCTGGAATTAAAGGTTTGGATGAGCTCCTTGGGCATATTTTGATAGAGTCTGTCTGTTTTATTGCTGGGATGTGTCTTGGGAATGTTGCCTGAGAAACATCCCAGGAACCGAACCTGTGGTTTTACGATCGGTAGACCCCACTCTGCAAATATAACCTTGCAGTACTGACTAAACCCTCTGAAGATTAGTTGTAACAAGCCTCTGGCAGGTTCTACAAAACGCTGCAGTTGACCAGCACTGCTCGCTTTGAAGGCTCTCTCAGTCAGTAACTTTCATTTCTGAATTCTCCTTCACAGGCAGCTTTGGATTCTTTTGTGGCGAACAGGGTAGCACAAGTTTTAATTTGTTTTCGCAATATGTTTATCACCACTGTTGTAACCTCTGTAATTACACCATGTGATGGAGCCTCTCGTGAACATAGCTCACCCTGAGGATCTGTGGAAATTATGTATAATTCATGGTGTTGATTGTATTTATAGTTGCTCTGGCTTGTTGTTTGGAGACAGAGATGTAGCATTAATCAAGGGCTACTTTGTTATGAAGATGCGGAGCTGCTCCTTCAGTGAACAGTTTGTTTCCGTTCTTTTTTAAGTTTTTGGCCACCGCCTGGGGCGCGAAGCTGTGCAGAAAGAGGTGGAAACTTTGGTGTTTTTTTTTTAATTTCTTTCAGTCTCCTCCTGTATTCACAACTGGCAAAAAGATCAACATCTCACTCAAATTAATGTGATTCTATATTCTTTTTTTCTTTCAAGCTAAAACACTCTCAGCTCTGTAGCACATTCAAAGCTGTGCCCTTGCAGAGTACCATTAGAGTACATAAAAGTTTAAATATCTTAAGCTCTAAATTGCCCACATTTGCCTGTTCGTTAGAGTAGCATAATTTATAGGGAGACAACTGACTACATGATGTTGGAGTCATGAGAAGCAAGTCTTCATGAGCACTACTAAGAAGTGTGCTCAGTACATACAAAATGATTCTGACAAGCAAGTCCTTCTAAAGTAATCATTAAATCAGAGGGTGAAGATTTGGTTGAAAGTGCATTAAGGGAAAAGTTAGTGTTAGGCAAGAAGTGTTCCACCAGGAAAGTTGTTAGAAAATTGTTTGAGTGTATTTGGTTCATACAGCACTATTCACCAGCTACAACAAGAAGCGGATTCTCGCCTCTCCAGTTGTCCTATGTGAAATATATCACAAGAAAGGTGTGGCTTAAAAAAATGCCCCAATTGGATTGGATGGATCGTTACAGAAACACAAAGATAACTAGAAAAATGTGCATTTCCTGTGAAAATGCTGTGTGGATGCTGTAACGCTGAAGTTGTCTGCTGAAAATAGATGAAAAAGATGAAAAGTTGCACAAATTGTAATAGCTTTGCAGAAGCATAAGAACTTAGCAAAAATGTAATTACTTAGCAGAACTGCAATAACGTAGAGGAAAAATAGTACTTAGTGGAAATATTTTAACCTAGTAAAAGTTGCATTTCCTGTGAAAATGCTGTGTGAATGCCCTGTTGTGTAATCTGCTGAAAACAGCTGAAGAAGTAAAACTATGTGCTGAAAGGAGGTGAAGAAACTCAAAATTCTGCTGAAAACAGGTGAAGAAGCAGAAATTTTTGCTGAAAAGAGGTGAAAAGCCAAAAACTCTGCTGAAAAGGGGGTAAAGAAGCTGAAATTTGTGTTGAAAAGAGTTTAACTGTTTACTGAAAAAAAATGTTGCCATAAGCGGGATTCGAACCCTGACCTCCCGCTCTGAGAACGGCTGCTGATCTCATTAAGCTAAAACACAGCTCACCCCGGCTAGCAAAATCAGTGACCACACTGATAATGCGGTCCATTTATTTCAATGGGACATAAAATTTCATAAAAAATTTAATATCTCAAAAAGTATAGAAGTTATAAGCACCAAAAGTCATAGCAGGAAAGAGCAGAAATAGCAGAATATTGTAAAATTTGAATGGTAAAAATAGCATTTTTACCATTCAAATGCCTGGAGCAATTACCAGACTTAGTTTGCTGGGTCACTCTGTGTGCCACAGACAATAACCAGGCTGCATGTGTGAAACTCTGCATGCAGGAGGAAAGACGCTGAGACAGGAGAGACATCCACTTATTTACCACCCACAGCATGAAGGCACACTGTATACTGATACCAGTGGGAGAGCATCAGTTAAATGACATTAGTGGATGGACTGGGAATAAAACAGGATCATGTTGTGTTATGTCTTTTGCCTTGGTTTTTGTTTTTTGTTTTTTTTACCTGTTAAAAAAACCTTGTATGAAAATCTCCATAAAGTGAATATAATCACTGTCATGTACTTTACAGTGGAAACATGGCTGCTTGCGTTTCTAAATGTGACTCCAGCATTTTATTGAACGTACTGGGAAAGCTGGCATACTCCCTGTGCGAGTATGTGTGTTTGTCAATAAGAGCACATTAGCGATTTGTGTGTGTGTGTGTTTGTGTGTGTCTGTGTGTGTGTTTAGGTCAGCTTTGCTGCCCACATGGTTTCAGGTCTCTCAGTCTCTCCTGCCTGAGGCTATCCTGAGGTGGATCCCTGCTGCTGTCCCGTAACCTTGCCAGTGACAACACTGGCAGCCAATCATTTTAAAGCAGTTTATGACTTGCCTCCTAAACTAAGAGTTTAGGCAAAGGATGTGTCACATAAAGCAGGACCGCTGAATTTTTGATGCAAATAAAAACTGTCCTTTATTTGATATTATTTGGGGAAAAAATAAAAAAGCAGCTTGTTTCTGTCTTTGCATAAGTTTTTCCAACAAGGACAGTGTGCCAACAGAAAGGCATTACCCCTAAATCTGATCGCTCAGACCCCGTCTCCCACCACCACCACCATCAACCTCCGCCTCCAAAGCCGCCCCAACCCCTTCCCCCGCACTATGATAATCTGCTGATGTGACCGTAACCACTTATCCTTCCACAAGATTGAGGAACACGGCTGAGCAAGGCTGATAATTACGAGCGTTACAATTCACGCTAGTGGTGCTGGATGGGATCGAGTCCTGTTGCCGATCTTGAACTAAATGGCGTAAGGAGGAGGTCTGTCAATATACTTTTGACCATTTGAAAGCTTGTGCTGTTGACTGGATTGATGTTTCAAGCTCATTTCATTTGTGTCAGTCTGCTCCTGATGCGTCATGCCTCGCGGTTCTGCAACATGATTTGTCTCTCACTTCAGTGAGCGCAGTCCAGTTAGTGAGTGATGATTAGATGAACTGCAGGGGGTTTCACAGTCGTTCAGTCTTTTGGCATTAAATCACTCAAATAAGCAAGTTCCTAATAAATGAGCAGGTTTTCACACTCACAGGGTAACCTTGGCGGAACTTTCCTGAAATATTACACTCTTATTCGTCAATAAGCCTCGACTCTCTCCAGCCTGGGATCAGCACACGCCTCCAGGATACCCCGTGAAGAAGATTTGCATTGATATGGGAGTAGTTTTGAAATGATTTCCTCAAGATTTCTTCACTTGACAAGATAATGAGTAAAGATGAGGCCTGTGTGATCTTAATTTTTGAACAGTTTTGGTGTCTTAACTTCAAAAATGCAGACTCTCGTGTAGGATTATGACTTAATAAGATCGTTAAAAGCATTCTAATTTCAATTTGGCTCTATGCAAACCCTTTTCAGCAAAAGAATGTCCCCGCGAGTATAACAACACAAACACAAGCTCGCTGTATGTGAAAAGCAATAGATTTGGAGATTAAGAGACATTCTGAGAGAAAATAAGAAGAGAGGAAATGACTTGGGGATTTATTTCTGCTTTATTTCCATGTTCAGAGAAAGAGGAAACAAATAAAATTGTTCAGATGGGATAAAAAAAATTTCCAGGGGACTGACGGAGACATCTCTATTTGTAAATCTATCATACTTAGCCGAACAGCTGCTGGTATAGACTCTCTAAGTGAAGTTTTACAGTATAGCACTGTGTGCACTTCAAGCATACAGATACAAGGATGTAGTCTCTCTAATCTCACTGAGCCTCAGTCCTTGGTTGCTTGAACTTGTTTTTGTGCTGAGCGTTGTACGCCAGAATCACAGTGTAACTCCCACGTGAAAATGCGCATTTACAGTTTTTCATTCCCAGTTGCTCCAAAGTTATGACCTCTGCACCCAGCAGGTTTCTTCTGAAAATGACATGACTGACATCTTACTCCTTATTGCTGCTTTGTGGCCAGATGTATGGAACCAATGTAAGGAAAGTATTTTAGCCGTTTGAGCATTTGCTCATTCTGGGTGGTATCCTAAGCAATCTATGCACAGTCAGCAGTGTGTTATATAAAGTCAACTGGTCACATTAGTAGTGAATGTAGCAGTGCAGAAACCAGACAGGAGCACAAGAACACCTTCCACTGTATACCCTCTTTTTATGTTGTATTGTTGCATTTGCATTTGTATAGTATACTGTACTACATTTTTAACTTAGTGGTTTACTGAGCGCTTTTACAATCACCCCATAAACAACTACATAATAATCTGTCGGCCCCCGTTTTGCTTCCAAAACAGTTCTATCCCATCCAGGCATGGACTAGACGCCTGAAGGTGGGCTTATGGTATCCACACCAAGATGTTAGTAACAGATCCTTAAGTCTTGTAAGTTGCCTGGTGGGGCCTTCATGGATCAACTTGTTTGTCCAGCACATCCCACAGGTGCTTGATTGGTTTGAGATCTGTGGAATATGGAGGCCAAATCAACACCTCGAACTCATTGTTGTGCTCCTCAAATTGTTCCTGAACCATTTTTACTTTGTGGCAGGCGCATTATTCCGCTGAATATTATTTCCATGAAACGGTGTGTAAGGTCTGCAACAATGTTCAGGTAGGTGGAAGCAGGACCCAAGGCTTCTAAAAATAGCTCTTGGTGATGGGGGAGAAGGGACTATACCTCCCGCCCCATCAGCTTAGGCAGCTACCATCCCACCTGCCTTTTTTCCTTCCCACTGTCGCCAAAGTGCTTGCTCATAGGGGGTCATATGATTGTTGGTTTTTTCTCTGTATGTATTATTGTAGGGTCTACCTTACAGTATAAAGCGCCTTGAGGCGACAGTTGTTGTGATTTGGTGCTGTATAAATAAAATTGAATTTTGTGGAAAAATTGGTCCTTGTGATGAGTTGGGTGGTCTACAATATATTTATGTTAGTAGGAATGGGAAGATTAAGACAAAAACAAAAAGTAGTTGAACCCTGGCACTTCCTCTTCTTTCTTAGCACAAAGTTCATGAAAGGTTGGTTATGAATTTGTGACCCTATTTTTATGACAATATAGTTATAGTAAGGATATTAAATGTCTCATCTTTTTGTTATTCCTAAACCCCATATCTTTTATGTGAACTGTTAGCCAGACACATACAATATTAAGATATTGTCACCGTATAATCTGACCAAACTGTTTGGACTGTTAAACATGAAGCAACATTAGCATTCATCCTCAGTGATGTTCACTCCTTTTTTAGCTCCACTTTGGTTTTCTGGCTCTTTAGCTGCCAAACTCTGCACTGCGTTCACCATCTTGTTGCTACCTTTCCCTGACATTTGGTTCTGAGCAAGCTGTGAAGGGTTTCATCAGAGCTTTTTCCTGTGAAAAACAGATGCCTGCTGCTGCTGAAAGGCAGGCTGATGAGAGCAATGAGACTGAAACCAACTGCGTCTTTGGAAACCAGAAACAATGAGCTGAAAGATGCTATAAAGGTTGGTCAAGCTGAGAGAGTGCTATAATGTTAGGTGATAATTCTCTACAGGTGTGTCAGTATGGGTGACATTTATCACATCAGGCATAGGCATTTTGCCCTTTGGAAGATATAAATCTGTATTGGACAGCTTTAGAATAAATCCCATATTATCTGTGAGGCTTTTTCCAGGAGAACAGAGGCAGCAATTTTCCTGCCAATTCAGATTTGGGGTCATTCATTAAACTGCTGTGTTGAGTCAGCCAGACAATATTAGTATTACTGTAAATATGTCTTTTTTTTATTGCCTTTTGCTCTATCCAGATATGGAAAGATTCCTGATTATTTTGGAAGCCATCAGGAAAATGAAACATGTTATCACTGCCGGCTGTCAAAAGAATGAAACAGCTGTAATAAAAAGAGAAAAAAATCACAGTCAATCAATGAACGCATAAAAACTTAAGCCAACTGCTGGCTGTCACAGGGATTTAACTCCACCTCGGCCAGATATATGTATTTCCTGTCTTATCTAAGACTGAGACAGTGCCGCCTGTCAAGAACATCCTTTAACTCTATACTGTCACCATCAGCAAGGAAGATTATTTAGTGTGCACTCTTAAAACGTTACACTGCTGCGAACAGATCAGGCTTGTGCTGTTGCAGCAAGATGTTTGCTGCCTTCCCTTGAGTCAGTCCCCAACAGACTGACTCAATGTGCCGAGGTTAAGCTGTAATGACACAGTCACTATCACAGAGTGACATATGGTGTGTGTGTGTGAAAACTCTTATTTAAGCATATTGCTTGCTCCCAGCTGAAGAAAAAGTGATAATGAGAGAGGTTAAAGAGTTAAAGTCTGAGTGTATATAGAATGGTGTTCATTGGGATAAGTATGTCTCTTTCTATATGGGAGCATATGCCTACTCACACTGAGCAGGTAGCTGTAATAGTTTCATCTCAGCTACACGGCTTTGAAACTCACTGCTGTTCAAAGCATCTGTTTGTGAGAGGTAGCCAATCAAAAGAGAGTCAGCTTGGGAAGCCACTCTACAAGATAAGTCCTAAAATAACAACATGAACTTAGAAATGAACACAATTGGTCTCCTTTAATATACAAAGTGGCAAAAATCATCTTAGTTATTCAAAAGTAGTTGTTTTTTATATGAATGTGAGGAGAAAATAAGCAGCAGAATGATTAGATTCTTTGATATTGTTTCTTGGAAGTTTAGCCCTGCTGGGATGCCCTGTAGTCACTCATGTCTTTCATTGTTAACATTAATGATGCGTGTTCTGTTATTGAATCCGAACTTACGGTTTTCATACTTACAGTTTCATTCATGCTAGCTGCTAATGTAATCGGAAGATTTTTTATGCTAACATTATCGGTGTGCTGTGGTAGTTAACATGATAAATAGCAAAGACAAATAATGTTTTTGAAATGCCAGTGTACATATGCATTTCAGGAAGTTGAACTCCGAGCTCTCTGTGTTTACCTGGAGGGACCGAGATCCTAATAAAGTTTTTCAGTTGTGATTGCCACCGAATGCTCGAACACTAACCTTTACCTCAATGTTTTGAAGAGAGGTAAAGGCAAGAAATCCAGTGACAGATAGATTGTTGATAAAGTTCAGATGTTGTTAAGGATTTGTGCAACAGAAACAGAAATAAAAATGTAAAAAACAGGACCTTCAGATTCTGTTGAGGCCACCATTACTTTGTATGACTGCTGGCCAAACCAACATAGTCAGATCGCTTCGTCTTTTTTGAATGCCATGTCTTTATGGGGCTTTAGACCTTTCTGAACTTGCCATGGAACTAAAAGTCCTGAAGCCTGGAGGCAAAAATAGATTAATTATAACCAACTGTGAAATGCATAAATTGCTGTGACACTGGGATGAAACTTTCTGTCTGTCTGCTATGCAGTCATCTTTAACTATTTGCAAACCCAACTTCATGATGTCATATCCATGCCTTGGCCACTCCATATGTACTGTTGGTGTGAACAGGTAGAGATGAAAAAGGAGAGGCGGTTCCAAGCCTCTGGGGATGCCTGCGCCCTGGCGCCTTCACTGGCATCTCTAATCAAAACAGTCAACTTGGATCACAGAGGAAGTCTGCTAATTGAATTCCATTGTTGGATGTTTATTTTAGCCCGTGTGAAGTTTAATTTTAGAACAAATAAACTGGGGCCTTCAACAAGAGAACTCGGAAGGCGAAAAAAGTGTGAATTGTAAAGTCCAACCAAATCATTAGTGAGTGTTTATTACGTTGAGTCATTTTAAAACATTAAAAAACATGTTTTCTATTGAAAGACTTTCTTCTGTATGTATACACATGCTAAATCCTTTGACTGAAAAAAATTGGTTTTTCTTTGT